CACATTCGTCTTCGAAGGGCGACGGTAATATAAAGTATTTCATTCTTGGGTATTATTTATTCCCACAATTGTGAAAATGGATGGCATCATGATGCGGAACAAAGATGTAAAATACAAATATTTTTTACTCAGTTGAGCTGTGTATGTGACACGCCTATACAATACATTTCTTCTGAAAAACGCTTTCCCCACTTATTTTTCGAACGGCTTCAAGTAAGGAAGCTGAACTTCGGGGTCATTAGTAAATGGATAAATACTCTATTTTAGCGCAAGTTAAACCAAGATGGCGGGTGCAAGATATCTTTAAACAATTTTTAAATGGAATGTTTGTTCACATTTTGAAGTCCCTTAGAATATAAAATCGCTATCTTTTGAAAAGGTAAGATATTCCGTTTGGAAAAACTCATCAAAATCTGTCAAATTTTAAGCGGGAAACATGTTTTATTGTACAGGCAATTACAAAAGAAGGAGACTGCTATAATAAACTGTACAACAATGCTCAACTTTGACAGCCTGCCAGTCCGTCATATTGAAAGATAGCAAGTAAAAAATAAGGTGTCACGTTATCACGAAAAAGTCTAACTAAAATGGATTCAGGAAATGAACTTATCAGTCAACGCTTTTCTAATAATTATCACTTTCAGATTTTTGAGGTTTACTACCACTGCAAAAGTTAAATTAAAACTTTGCCAATTTGAACTACCAAGGGCAACGAGGAACGACAAGCTTATACATGGTTATACAGGTTGCCTAACTTTTGGCTTGAAGTCCAACTACTGTACCAGCGAACGTCTACAGTATATTCAGATAAGAGATAGACCGGACATAAACAAGACCACGTGATCATCGAACGCTGTAACATTCGGCAGGGACGTATTAAGAGTCACGCAGTACATATTTTAGATAGTAGATGCTGCTTTGCGTAACTTTGTAGTAAATTAGCACAATTCGATGTGTATACGATTGGTGATGGATATAGGATCATGTGGGGGTGGGGTAAGAAATATATAATGATGTAAATATACATAAGGGATTCAAAATTTTCGCTTCGATTTCCAGCTTCGGATGCCGCCTGATGTTTGGTGAAATACAGTCGAATATAATCTCAAAATGGCGTTTAAATTAGCCTAAATTAAAAATAATCGTATATCTCTTAAAATTGCTTTTAGAATATTGATTAGTATATTTTTTGATTTCTAGGTAAATATGTAACCAAATTAAAACGTTCAAAATGTGAAAATGCCAAAATGGGTTCAAAAATGTCAATAATTAATTAAAAAATACAGTAGCTTTATAATTACTTATAACTTACCGAATTTGATGAACGACATCTTTTATTGGAAAGATGAGCTTGATGAGCTTTCATCATCGCTACTGCCTGAAGCACCAACGTCAATAATGAATGGCTCGACTTGTTCCTCTAAAATATTGTCCAGTTCCCACATTCTCTTTTCAACTTTGTCTTTCACGTGCTTAATACAGTTTTCCCATTTTTGCGCTGTTATTAATTCTAGTGCTTCTTTGAAAAGTCCTTTGAGGTCACAAAATTTAAAAGTTGTATTGTGCTTAGCTATATAATTTTTAACCTCTGCCCATATGAGCTCAATGGGATTGAGCTCGCAATGGCATGGAGGTAAACGGAGCACAGTTTTATTTTGACTTGCTGCCATTTCGTCAATGGCGTATTTTTGATATTCCGCCTTGTGATCCTTGACAATTCTTAATAATTGTACTTTCAGCATTGCTTCTTCAAAGTTGATATTTTTCGAGCGGAGCCAATTTTGAACATCAACTTTCCTTGAAGCCGTTTTTGGGACCTTCTCCATTCTTCGAGAATGATAAGGCGCATTATCCAACACAATTACTGCGTTTTCCTCTAAGTTCGGTAAATTTTTTGAAAACGATTCGCCATTCAGTTCCTCGTGGTAATCTCCAGTTTTCTTAGACTCAAAGCACCACAGACCGTCAACAACAAATCCATCCTCACTGCCAATATGGCAGATAATGAGCCTTTTCCCTTTACCTGGAAATCGAAGTACTAACTGGTGTAGATTTATTTCAATAAGCGAAACTTTTTCAAATGTTTTCATCACATTCAGCGAAAAAACATTGAGACATGAGTATCAGATTGCTATAATTGGGATTATATAGTCATATTGAAAGAAAGAATATTGAACGTCGTATGATTACTCAGCGCTTCACAATTTAATTTAAAGTTATAAACCTTTAAAAAATGAATGATCAGGAACCTGAAATACGCGCAAATATTAATATTAACAAATTATAACTTTATAAAGCTTAAAGTATGAATTAAAATGATTAGAAATATTAGGAACGGTACACAATATAAAACTTAGTAACTTTTTTTAAGTTTGTAATATTCGACATATTTTAAGATTATATTAAAAAATTATTGAAATATCGAAAACACATAAAAACATGGCTTAAAAAAGTTCTAAGAAATGAAAATGACAATAAAACATCCACGCATTTTATCGAAAGTTATAAAAGTTTTGTTACTTGTAATATGTTTTATCTGCCTCCTGGAATTAATGTTTAGAACCTTGTTCCCAAGGTTTGAAAAACATCCGATTGTTGTCTATTACTCGTATTTACCTGCTGGATTTTTTAATCCGGTGGACAGTCCATCTAGAAAGGCCCTCCTGGATGAAGTTACAGAATCATCAACCCATACTTTACTTGTAGTGTGTCCTGCGTTTACCCACGTTTCATCAAGGTAATAAATCTTCCTGTTTTGATTTCTATATTTCCCAATTTTTGTTAAATAATCCCTCCTCCATAGCACAATTTCTTCTCTATCTAGTAGTAAACTATTACGACCCCGTTTTTTCCATTTGAAATTTAAATGCTTCAGTAACGCATGGAAAGTTGATCGTTTGAAATTTGGCAACGTTGTATCTCCATTTACCTCCTGCAGTACTTTATCTATAGTAGGTATTTCATCCTTAAAGAAGAATTCATGCACTTTCCTCCTAATCGCATGCTTATCAGCTTCATCCAATGATTTAACAATACTTTTGCGATGTTTACTGGTCACTGGCTCAGAAAAGGTGTGATTTTTTTTGTATTGTCTTAACACATTAAACACTGATGCGCGACACACCCCAACTTTGTGAGAAACCTTCACAACAATTTCTTTGATGGTTGATGCCTCGTTCTCCTCGCGCTCGATCTTATATATATATATTCAAAATGACCTCTTTCATTTCTGCACTCAGGTGTCTTTTTTTAGAGCGTTTCCTAGGTGGACTACAGGAGTTTACAACTTCATCGGCAGTATCTGTACTACTGGGCATTTTGCGCAAGCAGTTGATAACAATAACAATCAATAACAAGGTATAACAATAACAACGACAAACTCAACAACTTAATAAGATAACAAACGAAAACGTCCAAAGAAATATCAAATTGCAATGATGCACACGACATACGTAACACGTCTGAACCTGAATGTGACTCTGCCTTGATACGACTGCTCTGCCGCTCGGCATAGGCATTTAATTGCGAATTGACCAATGAGGGCTCCTGTTTTACGTCGAGACGGCGGCGTTAGCGTGAAAATCACCCGAACCTTTTGTTTACATCCGGTCTATCTCTTATCTGAATATACTGTAATTTATAAATCGGCCTTAAATTGCATCGATCCAAATTTCAGCCAGCTAAGTTCACCCATTAAACAAAAATTTGGGGGGCGTCTTGAGATGCACTGCATATTGGATATTGTGGAGATAGATGGAAAGGAAATGCAGGAAGTCATTGCCATCCAAATTATCTAACAACAGTTGTAAAAACTATTTATTTTTGTGTTCAGCTGATTTCAATTTAGATTAGAAATGCTCAAACTTCTTTGCAGGGGCGAATTTTTAAACCAGTTTTTAAAAGTGAGATATGTTTTTGGTTGCCTTATATGTCGACTTAATGAACATTTGTCACTGCGTATTCGCAGCAATCATTAAATCGACTCAGATGAAATTTGGGGAACGATAAAATAAATAGTAAAATATTTTGTCTTATATTTTTATTTAATCATTTTCTCATAACTAGCTTCAATTTGATTCCGTTCTTCGATTTCAAAACAGCTTCAGCAGAGAGAATGATTTGATGAAGAGGCGATGTTGGGAGAAGTTGAAAACGCCTCAAAACCTTCGAGAGGATCACTTTCATTTCTAATATTGCAAACTTTTGACCTAAAAAGTAAAACAGATTATTTTGCAAAATAGATTGAAATATAATTTCAAAATACAGACGCCTAAAATGAACGACCGAAATTGAAGAATGTTTTTGGACATTGACCAATTAATTGGATAACTGTATGCCTCACCTATACAATTTCTGGGTCCCGCACTGAAAGGAATATAGGCATACGGTTTTTTGCCATCGTTCAACTCAAACCTTCCTGGGTCAAAATTATCAGGATTTTCATAAAATTCTGGATCGCGAAGTATCCCATAAGCAAATATGGCTATGTTTATGCCTCTGGGTATTACATGACCTGGAATCACAAGAAAAATAATCAAGGGTTAGTCCAGTTTTAAAAAAAAACTAAGCACCAAGGGAAACATACAAATGCTTCGCTTATGGCATAGGAATATAAGTGATCCATTTATTAATTTATTATTTTGCATGAATTGATATGTGTTTACCTTTGTATATGATCTCGTTTGTTGTTCTTCTAGCATATGCAGCTACCGATGGATACAGCCTTAGCGTTTCCTTGATAACACATTCGAGATATTTCATTTCGTGAAGATCTTCGAAAGATATGGTCTGGTGAAGATCATCCTCGAATATTAGTTTTTGCTCCTCTAGAGCACGTTCCTGAAAATAAGCGGTTGGCTTCTGAAACCAGAATTCTAGGTCCCGATCCTAATTATTTTAAAAAAGTACATCCACATTTTTTTCCAGATAGTGCGTAGCCAAATGTTATCTGCCCATCTGCTGTAGGAGACTAAGATCGATGCATCAACGAAATCTGGTTGACAGAATACCTCAATTTGTATCGAACTAACCTCTATATGTATTATCCGAAATGGAATACATAGTTCAAAAGATGTTTCAACATTTGTGAAATTTTAGAAAAAGTCTGATTTTTAACATAAATATGCAGGAGAAGCCAAATCATCAGATATACGGCTGATTTTTTCCTGGAATTAGAGTGCAATAGGGAGTCTTTTTAACCACTGTGCTGTTTTGAATACAAACTTCAGCAATATTCGAATAAAAATTATTTCAACTTTTTCTGGATAGTTTTATAGTAATCTAGTAATCTATGCAATCACATTGTTTCCGCACATTTTGTGCCTTTTAAGCATCACCGCTAAAATCCATCGATTGTTTCTATTTTTACATTCGAACAAACAAGAAGGCATAGCCTGAATACCAGGATGCTGCGACTGCTATGAGAAATTTGGATTCATTGACGCGAGTTATGAACTGATTCACCCTCAAATACTACCTGAAATATAAATTACAAACTACTTACACTTCCTGAAGTCGTACACGTAGACATAAATACCATTGAAGCTACTTACACTTCCTGAAATCGACACTTAATTGTATCCTAGATGCTTCAAAAATAAACAATATACATACGTTCCTTAAACGTACATACTCGTAGAGTAGTTTGAATAAGGAGAAAAGTAATCACTTATTTCGCTACTTCCCAACTGATCTTATCAACGCGAAAATCTATTCTGCAGAAACGCGAAGGAAAACTCTATTGCTCTGATGATCGAGCCCTGAGGAACCCCAGTTACGATTATTTACTCACCTGTACATCCTGATGGTTGGACAACAGAAATAGTGCAAAGCTTATAGCTGAAGCTGTAGTATCATGTCCCTGAAAAACACAATCTTATATTAGCTTAGTATAAAAGCTACTCGAAAGCACCAAAGTCTACCTCAAACATGAATGTATCAACTTCTTCCCTTATATCATCGCGACTCAAAGATTTTCCATCGATTTCAGACTGTAACAGAATATCTAAGAACGGCATCCTTTTCTTTTTCCCCAACTCGTCGTATTCTTCTCTAAAGCCATGAGTGTCTTTCTGCGCTGCCATTCTCGAGTCAATGACGTTGTATGTTACGTTGTGAAGGTATTTTACAGCTCTTCGTTCGATATAGTAATCAGGAAATAGTGGATAAAAGAGGTCGTTACTTTTGAAGATGCTCAAAGGTCTGTCTTGAATAATTCTACACATGGTTTTTACATGTTGAACGTAATCTGAGTCTTCGAAATCTTGTGCCCGTAATTCAACTGCCATAGCTGTTTCTAAAAACAGAAAATCGTATTGAGCTCTAGTTATGTTTCATTTGGTTATATGTTTGGACGGTTTTGGATTTGTAAATTGAATAGTGGAGGAACTAAATGTTGGGTCACACGAGGGGAAGTCGGCAAAATAGAAAACTGAATGTTGACGGTAGCCAGTACTCACTCACATTTACAGTCGGTGACTAAAACCTCCTTATCTATTAGCTCATTAAGCTCTACAAAACTCAAAAAAAACATCGATTTATTCATACATCCATATTTATATCTACGATGTTTGCAGCAATAATTAACAACGACTAAATACTAGAAGCGCAACAATTCCTGTCCAGACCATATCAAACCTCGCTTTGATGTACCGATCAAGGAGCGAACTCTACTTTGGAAGCCGTTGGTTTATATTGGCTCGCGCCGTACAGATCGATTCGAACACCTCCAAATCTGTAACCACATGTGCCTTGGCTTGCGTTGGAATCTCGGTCTGTACGCGGCTTTACGAGTACCCCTTAGGCGCGAGGCCGTCAGTAGACGTCGACGCCTGGGCTGCCCCGGAGTAATAGCTGCGATTCAATGAGTGGAAATGATTTTTTGCGGTGTTGGAAAATGCTTTACTATAATATATATTACCTGCTATTACATCCAATGCGAAAAGTGTGACATATCTGTAGATATCTATTTCCTGTCCTACTAGGTTATCTAGCTTCTGTAAAAGGATGTCAGAATTCTTTTCAAAAGATGGAATGAAGCTCTCTAATATAGAAAAGTGGAAAGCTGGAGTTGTTAGTCGTCTTCGTTTTTTCCATTTTGAACCTTGAAGATAAAATACTTACAGTTACTCAATTAAGCATCGATTAACGTATTCTACCTGATCATAATCAATGATATAAGCTTCAGATTCCTAATTCTAGCCCACACACTAGTGAATTGTGAAAACAGTCATCAGGCTTCATTATTACACGTTTGTTGCATTTTGACATTTTGCCTCGTCTTTTCATGATGAGATTATAATAAAAAACATTGTTCTTTATATTATTGTTTTATGTTTAGAATTTTGATGTACACGGTTTTTGAAAACTACAACAATTTTTGATGGGCTGATATATATGTATATAAGCATTCAGGCTGAAACTGGCTTCACAGAATCGAAAAACTATACTTTAGCGCATACCGCAAACATTTCATTTCTTATTTTAAAATTAAAGATTAGAATGTATTTTGTACGAAAGTATAATTTTTTCTCTGCTTGTTATTTTACAGAACTTCAAAGTTTCATTTTGGGTGGTAATACTCTAGAATAGAATACTGTCTTTTTAGAAACTGAAAACTGGAACGTGTGATAAAGACTGTATCTGGCTAAATCCGGCCCTGCGCTCTGTGTTCCCAGAAAAGTACAGAAGGTGCTAGGACTGCCATCCAGTAGCGATTGCGTAAACTATAAAACATGACAGATCCCTACTTATATTGACGTTGGACGTTAAAACGTCACCTTGACGACTTGACGTTTTTGTGTTGTATTTCCAAGTCTTTGTATTGTTATAAAATTAATCCATTATCCAAGCATTACAAATTGTTTAAAGTGTCTACAGTTCGTCACTGATAAGATTAACGTTATAAAAACTATCGTTTGAAGTATTTACAAGCTACATTTGCTCTTGAGGTAAACATTATACTGCAAGTTTTTAAATCACGAATTAAGCACACATCTGTTTTCTGTTTTAGCTTATTGCACAATGGGTTGTGATGGGGGAACCATACCACGACGGGACGAACTAGTCAGAGTGAAAAAGAAGCCAGAGGCTAAGGATAAAGACGCCGAACTAGCATTTAAATGGAAATGTTGCGCGATAACACAAGAAACCCTTCAAGAGCCTATTGTCATGTGCCACTTGGGCAAACTCTACAGCAAAATGTGTCTAATAGAGGCTCTGCTAGACAGAAGCGCTTTACCAGAGACATGCAGGCACATCAAATCTCTAAAAGATGTGAAGAATTTGAACCTGACAAAGAATCCCGAGTACAAAAATGAAAGGAAGAAAGAGGGATCCTTAGACAGCCGAGCTTCTCCTTACATTTGCCCAGTCTTAGGCTTAGAGATGAGTGGAAAATTCAGGTTTGTTTCAATTAACTATTGTTCTATATGATTTGTGTAAACTGATTTTTGTAACAAAGAGTTATAAACAATTACAGCAGAAAAAGCTTTTTTCTGCTACTAACCCAAGAAGTCACCATTATTGACCAGTATGGCTTAGTGAGAAGTAGCATTTTTCCCTTCATAATGAAAAAAAACCTTGATAAACAATAATGCCATTTGTACTGTGTACTTGTTGTTTTAGTATCATTGAAAATTATTTTCAGTATTTTCAGTTCTTCATCTAATTGTGCTTTTTGAATGCCCCGATAATTGGCATAGTCATGGAAAAAATATATTTATACCTTGCTTCCTTTGGATGGATTAGTCCAAACCCAACCAGCTGTTTGTGCATGCATTAATTGGAGTTTGTCAGTTTGAGGTGTCAAACCTAGAGGGTAGCTAGATATTTTAAAGTATTTGTAAAATTGGTTAGAAATGTCATGATCATATTGTAAAATATGCGCTATGCTATGGTTATAAGAGGGCATCCCCAATAATGGCCCACTTCTCAAATTCATTGTGTAATGCACTGTCATCTAATGATCCAGCTCCCATTTTTTTTTTAAACATATATAGCAGCAATGGACTATAAATAATCTTTTGGAGCTTATCATAAGGTTTTCTTTATGCCTGTGGCTCCTAGTCAATCATTAAAGCAATGATCATTCCGGAAACAACTACTGATTTTTCATCTATTGCAACAAAATGCAATGGAAGATTTGATCCAATTATTTATAAACAAGCACTGACAAAAGATCTTCATTGCAGATTTGTGGCACTATGGTCTTGTGGATGTGTTTTTTCTGAGCGAGCATTGAAAGAAGTGAGCACTAAGACTTGTCACAAATGTACCAAACCCTTTGAAGAGAATGATGTTGTCATTTTGAATGGAAATGAAGAGGACTTAGAGTTGATGAAGACTAGAATGGAAATTCGAAGGCACAAAAACAAAAAAAATAAAGAGAAGAAAATTAAAGAAGAAATAGGAGCAACTTCTACAAATGGTGAAGCTGAAGGTCCCTCAAATGGAGAAACTTCATACAAAGCCGGAAAGAGGCCTACATCTGATGCAGGATCTTCATGTGCACAAGAAGCTAAGAAACTCAAGTCAAATGGTAAGGAATAATAATACTATAGCTGGTGAAAAACACCTTAAATTCTGATTTTTATGTTTTATTGATATATTTTTGTCAGCACTAAAACTTGACAATTCTGATATGCTAAAAAGTATGATAGTGACCTAGCAACTATAGATGCAGATCTTATCTGTTAATATATGCTCCCAGATTTTATGATCAAGATAAAAAACTTACTTTTAAAATCCATATTATTAGTCTTGAGTAAGTTTCAATACTTTAAAATTTACTACATGGAAATCTAATGTGAATTCAAGCTGTAAAAAGTAAAACTAATTTTGGAGGTGAATATTGACTTAATTTTGGCTTGACAAATATTTTTTTGCAGGTGAAGCTGCCTTGTCAAAAATTGGCAATGTTATATCATCAGGCAAGGTAACCAAAGCTGAGGAACTCCGCAAGATGAAGCCTGACTATAGTGTGGCTAAGGATAAACATGTATCAGATGTATATAAGTCTCTTTTCACAAGTCATAAATCTGAGAAAGAACAAAATAGAGCACATTGGGTGACATATAATCCATTTTATAACTAGAATTATAAGCAAGTTGCAAGTAGTGATTATTTTATTATATTGGACCCCATATGCAAATAATTAAACTGGTATATTGTACAGCAGACTTTAATTTCAGCTCTTCCAGAATTCTGCTTATATTAAACCATACATTTAGAAAAACCCACAGGCTCTCAGCTCCTTTCTGAGCATGATGTTTGTATTTTTTCTACATATTAATGTATTTTGTCCCAATTTTAGCGTCTCGTCACAAAAAGGGTGCATTTATCTGTGGTGTTGCAGCTTCCTAACTGGTGAACTGATTTTGATTTTTCTTTTTTTTTTTTTGTTTAAAAAGTAATATGATGAGTGTTCTCAGCAATGATTTGTGAAATCTTTCCAAATCTTGAGTTTTGTGAATTAAACATGACTGATACTTAAATTTAGAGTACCATCACTTGTGAGGAGTCCAGTTCCTAACCAGTTGGTCAAATAGAGGTAGTCTCCAGATTTATTCAGAAAGCTTTGACTACTAAGTACAAACTCAGTGAAGTCATAATCTGCACAGATGATGTGAGGTTTGAAACCAATGTCTACCACAATTAATTTGCCATGTTTCTCCATCAACCTTTTGACATCATTGAGCACAGCTAAAAATTGAAGAAAGATGTATGATTCAGAGTAATAAAAAAAATATGTGGAATATAAATAAAAATTCGGTGAATGTTCTCATGAAAAGTGCGAACATATACAAAATAAAACATAAGCTATTCCAGAAAACTGTATAGTTTTTGCTTTCAGATTTTCATACAACATTATTAATTAATAGATTCAATATTCTCATCTTTCCAAAATGCTATTAAGATCAGTATAAGAACGTTCAATTCTTTACAAATGGTGTAACCAATGTAGGTCAAATAATAATCCCTTATTTAAACGAGAATTTTAATGACTAATGACTTTTCACAACTTCACTAATTTCGAACCTTTCAGTTGAAAATGATGTCTGCATTTAGTTTTTAGCTCTTGCTTCTGTCAATTATGAGGTAAAGGTAAACTATTGAATCTGGTTGGACCTAAAAATTTCAATATTTAGCATGATTGTGTGTGAATACTGAAAACGAAAACTATACTGTTTTTAGCATAACAGTAATTTAATTTTGGATATTTTCGCACCTTTTGAGATTATATTCATTTAATTTGAGTACAAACTACGAAAATCAATCACAGCATCACCCATATCTTACATCTTTTTTATTACTTAGGCAGAAATGTCCAATTTCGGGTTATTGTTGAAAAATTACAGAAATTGTAAAATCTTGAAAATCGATTTCTGCCTATACATAATATAGAGTAAAATTTGTTCCACTTTCGGTCCCCTGTCACGTCTTGAAGGGAACAATTATTTTATGTCAGTCCCGAACTGTCATTTGCAGTGGTACAGATCAGATATCACCAATTTGTTTGTATGACTATTTCGCATTTGCTAATAGACAGCAATTTCTTGTTGAAAAAACCTCTTGTGATTCTTTCTAGTTTCCTTTTTAGATGAACAATGCAATTGAACAAACGAAAAGCTATAAGGAATGAATTATAAGAACAATGAACTTTAAGTGGATAGTCGGAATGACTGAATACATCATATTTAAAATGGCCAAATAATTGACATTCCTGTTACTCACTTGTAGGACCTTTAAATTCCAGTACATTCCCGATTATTGGCAAACCAGGGACATGGGGTAACCATTCTAGCTTTTCCCGCAATTTGTAACCTTTCAACCATTTGCTGTAGACTTTAACCAGTACTATCAAAACTAACAATAAAACCACTATACCCATTGACGCTTTTCAATAGACTACTGATAAAGTTTTTCTTTTTTGCCATAACTTGTTTATTATATACCTACATAATAACTAAAACAAACAGGACACTGGCGGATCACTGGCGTATCCAGACAAAAGTTCTGGGGAGGCTCAGGGTTCATGTTCAGGAAAATTTCCGTTTTCAGGGTTGGGGGGGGGTCACGCCGATTGGAAATTGAACAGCGGGCGTGTGGTGGTGTATGATTAACGTGACAATACGTCCCGCTTTGGTCGGGACAGTCCCGCTTTCAGGCTGTCTGCCCGGTGTGCCCAGCGATGCCGACATGGTCCCGTTTTTGCAAACAGAACAAACGATAATTTAAAATGTATTTTTCCCGCACGAAATGCGTGGTACGACGTCCAACGATGCCCCGCTGACGTATATGACCAAGATAGGTAAGTGCCCGCCTAGACAAAAGGCGTTCAAGCATTCAGAGTCGCGCAGCTCAGAATTGTGGTTATATTTTTTGCACGCACAAGCAGCGACGATTCATGAAACTGTTGGAAATCGAAAGGCAAAATGGGTCGTCCACAGAGTCTGCCAAGGAAATTAATCGTCTCTGAGACAACCTGATACTAAAAGAAAATACGACAAGAAAGAGAAGCTGCTATTGACCAGCAGAATGCTGAGTTTTATAAAACAAACAAATACCTGAAGCAATGGTGTCAATTCAATACAGAACTAGAAGTGTTCGAATTAGCAAATTTAACAAAAGTGCCTACGTGGTAAGAGGTTCAGAAAGTGCTGGATTTACCGATCACGCAAGGGTTTTTTAGCACCAACCAAGATACAAAAGTCTTTGACGAGTTTTCATTTATTTCCAACATTGCGAAAGATGAAAAAATCTCTCGACCGTTGGGCCGAATATTTCCAGCAACCAATAATCTTCATTTAACAAACTTTTCCACAATTATTGAGTAAATTTTGCCTGGAAGTACCCCACGTGTCGAAAGAGTTTTCTCTCAAATGTACAAAATATAGACAAGTGATAAAACACAGTTAAGTGTCGCAGTAATGAAAGCTATTTTGAATACAAAGATAAATATAAATAAATCATGTACTTCCACACTTATCTAAAAACAAGACCCGATATTTTGAAACAAGTTTGTTCAACCGACAAATATAAAAATAATAATTAGATATCACTCTAGTACTGGGGCTTAGTAAGTCGTGTCTACTTAACTATTTTGTGTTTAGTGCTTTGATTATTTTGTGTTATTCTATCTTCTATAATAAAAAACTTGTAAAACACTAAAAACTTTTTTTATTGTATAATTCCGCAGATGTCCAGCTCTGGCAAGAAAAATAAATGGTCACGTTATGTATAATGCATCAGTGCTTCTAAGAGTGAATTCCGTTGTAACAATTGAAAAGCGAAGAGGGATTGTGTCAAAACCATATTAGTGGCTAATCTTTATTTGTCCAGAAGCGCCAGACGCGCCCTTCTGGGGGCATAAAGTAAAATATATTAGACCGTGAGGTAGGAGGCTTAGGCCCCAATACTCCCGCCACTGGATATGCTAGTGGATTATATCAACTCCCGAATAAAAATACCAAAAATTCTATTAAGGACATTCGATTGCATTGTGTTTGAATGTTTCGTTCGAGTATATGTAAAATGAATACCATAAACAGTACCTGTGATATATGGATGATATTGATGTAAATATCACTTTTTTATACAGGATGTCTCAAAAGGTAGATATGGTTGGGTATCCTATCATAATCTAAATCTGAATATTTATATGGCGGAAATTATTTAATGTTTATCTAGTCGACCTTTCCGAAATTCAATTTTCTAGTATTACCATCGAAAATATATAAGACGAGAGTATATTTAAATAAATAAATAAATTCTGAGAATAGGAAATCTTAGGAGTCATTACCAGGGAAGTTTAGGGGTGATCTTTTCTTGGAAAGATGATGTCATGTTTAAGAACAAACAGTTTTCTTTAAAAAAATGTGGCTTTACTGTTACTGGGAGCCTATGCACAATGTGCGATAGCCTTGACGAATGGCCATTTCAATCAAATATGTTTCCCCAGTCTGGCCACATATCTGGGAAAATGTACCTAAGCGTCAGCGGCTTTAGCTGTTTTGGAAATCGGCAGCTTTGATTATGTGTATAAATTTATTAAAATGGGTATGTCGGTTGAATTTAAGTATTTCGTCAAAGGTGGCGTTTGTGTTCACCTTGAACAAAACTTGAATTAACTATACGCGCGTATAATTGTTGGTCCTGCCCTGTTTGATTTTTAGATTAAATGAAAAGTTCTCCATATGCATTATTATATGTATATCTGTACCAATGACTGATATATATCTATCTTTTTAAGATTTTTTGTAGATATAATTCAATGCTTAGATTTAATTGTCTTGCTTACTACGAACACTATTCACACAAAAAATGTCTGGTAGTTTTCCGACAGATCATTTCCTCTGTATTTTCATGAACACTTGCTTCACGTCAGTGTAGAACCATAGTGAAACTGTAAAGGATGGTATATTTAAATCACCGTGTTTTTAATTGAATCGGTCTACTCAATTTCATAGCTTCTTAATGTATATTTTATAGTTGTTTTATACCGATTACGTAACCTTGCTAGTCCATTACTGCAGAATTATAACGTTCTTACATAAACATGATGTACGTGTGTAGATTCTTTCGGAATTAACAACAGTCTAAATAATAGACCAAAAGTGATACTCTTTGATACGTGATATCACTCTCTGTGCAACAAATTTAGAGTTCCACTACCGAGCGCGCGCCTACTCGCCACCTTCAATTGTCACGAGGGCAATTCACTCCCAGAAGCAATGTTGTAACCACCGCACCCCCATCTCCCCCGGTCTCCAGTTTTCAGTCGTCGTCGATCGCCTCTCATCCCGCTAAACGAACATCATTCTGAACATGGATCCTGCGACCACCACTGTGCCAACCCCCGGCCCTCTTGATATCTGCCTAAACAGCAACAGTGTGTAAGTGACCTCCCCTCTGTCTTACTTGGACTTAAAGCAAGGGCGGATCTAGGATTTCGTCTAGGGGGGGGTGGCGCAAACGATATTTGGGGCTGGTCATTTTTTAACCTCAGTTGAACTTCTAGAATGTACCCTATTATTGCTCGTTAAATCCATCGTGTTCTATCTGATCATGGCCAGCTTGAAAACAAACATGGAAAATGCTCAGAAATCTTCAGAAACGCAATATTTTATTATATGAGAACAAAATAAGTAAGTGGCATTTATAATTAACTAGTATGAAAAATATTAAAGATTCAAACATGAAAAACTTCGTTGCTCTGTTAAGCAAAAAAAACCCCGGACCCCGAGACATATTCCAGTCCATTCCACACAAAACAATGTCTTTGATTGCGAACACGAACATGAGACCACAAAAATCCACATTATGGTATGGACGCTAGACAAGACAAAGAAGGATGTCTATAGACCATCCATATATCGTGTCTTGAGACCACCTCCAGTCTGGAGGCAGTCTGCCTATAGACAAATTGCGCAACGGGGTCTACTGCCCATTAAACAAATCGAGTAAATGGTGCAAATACTGACACAATCAAGCACTTCTATTATTCTATTATATCAGCAGATGGTAAAAATATCAAGGTATAGTCAATTATTTTTTTATACCGAAGCAGCCGCGCAGACGGAAGCCTAAATGCCGGAACACCGCGGCTGCTTTGATGAACTGAGGTTAGTAGAACTGGGAAAAGCTTTCTTTTGTAGATAAACAAATAGCCTAACTTTTTCCCAACAGCTGCCGCTATTGACGAGATGAGTTCGTGCCAGATCAGGTCCTCGGTGATCGGAATGACTCTTTGACTGAACTCGACCATGCTTCGAAACCGGATGAGCGTTAGGACGCTTTTTGTTCGTCAAGGTACAGTACTGTGTTTTGGAAGCATTAAACTGTACAAGACTGTTGCGCCCCCAAGCAATGATAACTTCCAAGTCTCTCGTCAGAGAGGAAGTCGTCGCTAGTCTTCTTTTTTCCAGCTCAGCGGTAGAGATCGGTTTGTCACTATGAATTCCTGAATGTAGAGTGCTGTGGATTGGGTTGATCATGCAGAAAAGGAGGTCGATGATATGTAAGAGGAACTGTCGGAGCCAAGACCGATCTCTGGGGAACACCCGCGTTGATGTTGTGGGATGAAGAGGAGAACTCCTCAATTACAATGGATATCTTGCGGCCAGAGATAAAGTCAGCCGCCCATCTGCAAAGCTTTTCTGGGAGGCCATAGGATGGAAGTTTGCTTAAAAGGGCAACGTGCCTCAGCTGATCGAACGCTTTCGTGATGTCAAGAGCAACGACATGAGTCTCACCATAAGACTGGATGAGTTTACTCCACAATTGCGTGACGTAAGCTAGAAGGTCCCCTGTGAGTCGCTGGTGCCACAAACCACACTGCCTGTCGCTAATGAAGCTGTAACGTTCGCGGTAGTCCAGAAGCTTGCGAATTAGGCACATCTCCATCACCTTACTTATAACAGAAATCAGAGCTATAGGCAACTACATTGCAAGAGGTCGGGTTGGACATGAGCGAATTTCCAGTTTTCTGGGAAGGTGCCAGATTCATAAGATATCTGGGACACAAAAGAATTGGAGCAAGCTCCGCTGCACACATCTTCAGTACAATGGCAGGAATCAAGTCCGGACCAGAAGCTTTATTAATGTCGAGCGACAAGAGCACTCGTCTTACGATCCTATGCCTGAATGTTACTTCCCGCATAGTATGGGGAACCTTTTGAATTGACGACAGTTATTGGGCGTTGGAGGCGACGTCCATAGAGGAGTTGTCAGCGAAGATCGTGGCAAGCACTTCCG